TTAAGTGTATAACAATAATACCGGTGAAAAGTTCGGGTACGAGTTGTTTGAGGGCCTCGGCGTTGGTCCGGTTGAGTGGCTGCGGGTCCACATCGCCCACACAGGGGACGGCAAATGTGCCGTATTTTGCCTGTACTTTATCGCAAGTGCCCCGAAATAAACACTTGTTGGCCACCCATTGGCACTGCAATGAAATAACCACTTGGATTAGAGATTAAATATAATTCAAATAAAGTTATATTAAATATACAGTATTATAAATTATAATTTATAATTCATTTGCAAACCTGTATTATTAGTAACAAACATGATATGAGACAGTGTTTTAACATTATTAGTTTTAAGCACTTTTAATAATTGTTTAAACACTTGTTGAAATATAGAGCTATTTTGCCCCATTGTTTAACCCTTATATAACTACTGGTGTCGATAGGGTTGGGCTTATAATTTTGTATAGGAAATATGTTATAATAAATATTCTTATCGATATAATAATAAATTAGTTGAATAAGCATATTAGATGATCGTGATATAATATTGAAATACTAAAATTGTCATCATCATACTTGAAAAACAATTGTATGATAAAAGTATTCATGCCACCACGTTAAAACCTTAATATAACATTTATCGACATTCATTAGTACTAAAGTTTCTTAACAAAATAAAATGTTAAAGCATTACTTTTAATTTAATTAAATTGTTAACCTTTTACCACTTTTAAAACTCTGGTTCTCTAAATCCAATTAATTATACATTGTTTAAATTATTATTTTTAAATAAAGATTAATGATACATTATGATTAATTTATAATTAATTTTAATGCAAATAACTAGTGCATATTTTAAAAAAAACTAATCCACTTATTTCAACAAGATCATAAGGAACATTAAGTTTAATATACATGTATAATAAGTGTGAATGATTATCATGATCCCTTGATATTAAATTTAGTAAAGGTAGGGGTTATTGTGTATAAATGTGTTATACAGTACTCCATAACCTTTATCTAAATTATATTTATTTAATGTATTTTTTGTTGTCAACAACGAAATGAGATACAAAATTAATATTATTAAAACTAGATTTTAATATACTGTAGTAAACTTGTTGAATAATTAATTGTTTAAAATTATATAGTGTAATTAAAAAACAAATAAAATAATTTAAAATACAGATAATTATAATTTCCAACAGGTTCATGGAGTATATTCAGGAGTCATGGAGGATAAATGTATAAACTTTATCTTGATTATTTATTCAACAGTAAACATGGGGTTATTGAGTAGAAATTACGAACTTTGGGACTTAATAACCTTTATACTTTTAATATTTGTATTAAATGTAACATCAATTTATGTGAATTAATAGTAAATCTAAACTTACATAGTGTTAGTATGTTTACAAATTACAATTGAAATATTTCTACCCAATAACCCATTTTTTTTATCAATTTCTTTGACAAACAAATATTTTTGATTTAATCTCATATAAAAACCAATAATAAAATCCGTTTAAATAACAAATATTTTTAAGATAATTACAGTTTCAGTAAAAACAGTATCATTAAGTTTATCAGAGGTTTAAGTAATTTAACACTTGCCAAACAAATCAATATAATAACATGGTTACATTGCGTGTTATTTAATGTCAAAGTTTATCAGTTAAATATTTTGTGCTTGATTACATTATTGAGTTTATTGGGTTTATTCTAATTCATATTATATAACAATCTAGAAAGTGTAGAGTAAGCATGTATTGGCATTAAGGTTGTACTCAAAGTATTATTTATACCCAATAACCCCTTATTATTGGTTTTGTAACAAAGAGTTTATCGATTTATGAAAAAAATAGATAATAAGAAATTTTTAAATAACTTACAAATTAATTAATGTTTTAAAATGAATTATAATTTTAGTTATATCTACAGTACAGTAAATTATGTTAACTAATTATTTATGAAATAAATTATAACTTAATTCATTAAATATTGTCAATTTAATCAATAAACTACCGGATTATAAATTTAAATTTTATTAGCCTATTTGGCATTGACACAATTATAATCATAACTTTACTTATTGTATATTTTATTATCAATCTTATAATTGTTGTCAAAAAAAGCATCACATGCTAATAGGATAGGTGTTTTACTTATACAGTATACTTTAATGTCAGATAAAGTAAATAATATACAGTAGTAAACTAATTAATGGTAATTTTATTACAAATATTTTTATAAATTGGTGAAGTGATAGATGAATCTACTGTATAAATGCTATAAAATCTATAACAAAATTTTAACAATATTTTTAATACATTAGAAATACAATAATTTATAACAATTCAATTGTACCTATTTATAATAATATAAAATTAAATTATAATGGCTAATTATATAAGTTGATAAAATATACTGTACATTACACGCATATTCGTGTGTATTTACAGAAAGTTTTAAACTTAATTTTATATATAAAACATTTAAAACAATTAATTTCCTACAATAATTAAAGTACTTAATCCCTGGCCGTCCGATACCTGAGATTACTACCAATAAGACTGAGCACAACGGGTAAAAGTATGAGTCCGTGTGCGGCGCCGATCACTACAATCCCTAAATACATACGAAAGTAGAATATCTTGAATATGTTGGACGACGCGAACCCCAGGACTACAATCCCCCAGAATTTGGTAAATGTTATGCCCGACAGAACTGATGACCCGATTCTGGCCAACGATTCCTCCGCTCTCTCCACACGAGTGGTCCTCAAACTCATAGCATATCCACGCGTTATATGCGAACAAAACTCCACTGAAATGCCCACAGACTGTGAACACACAAACAGACACATTAATTGTACAATTAAATTAACTAATGTAAAAATAAATACCATAACGAGATTAACAAGTGATATGGCATTCAATGATATATTCCACCAAAACATGACTCCCATTAAGTCTATAACTATGGCCACAATTGTAACGACAATAATGAGTGATGACATTAAATCAAAGCCTAAGAATATAAAAGTGACCACAAATATGGCGGCGATAGCGATGACCAGATTAAAGACAGTGTCCCTCCAAGTTGTTAAGTATTGCTCATAGAATACATAGAAAACACTATAGGGATAGACCTCAACATACGGGTCATCGGCTGTATTGAGAGCATTGATGGCTTGTGTCAAAGTTTGGGCTAATATTCTGGCGTTTTTAATACACGATATGAAATCGTGTGAATTCTTGGACACTGTATGGTATGCGTTGAATGAAGAAGCTATTTAGGAGAGTAATATCACAATGGTAACTATTTGATAATAATTATGGCAAGAAAATTAGTAATAACAATCATTAACAATTCAATTGACATACCCTTAACAGGACGTGTGGTGTTGTGACTATAATCCAAGTGAACATACGGCCCATAAGCGGGTCCACCACTAGTTTGAAATTAAAATATTAATTATAATTATTAATTAATGTTTAATAGCTATGAAAGGCCTACCCTTTGGGACACTTGGCGTTGGGAATGTCGGCCAAGAAATACTTGAGATACGGGCCGTTAAACTTGTTCTCTTTGATGACCAGACGGTCAGCGAAAACGATATCACATTTTTCACAGCCGTCTCTATCTGTGTATATATAATATGGTTATTATAAACACAAACTTCAGATCAGATCAATACACATACCATCAGTGGATCCGCAAAAGTCGGACTCATTGTGGTTATGGAGTCGACAACAGTCGCCACTATTGGCCCAATCCATGTAGTCGTCGACCCAACTGTTGGGAACAGTACTCGAAATGTATGTCTCGTTTGAATGCTTTGAGGCATCCATTAAGATATAGGACAGGGATGTCGGCGAAGAGCCGGCGCCGCCCCATATCAGGTCCTGTTTGTGCGCGTAATCGTATTTACCGCTCACCACGAAATACACGGGCGCTCCCACTCGCAGGCTATTCATCTGAGCGTCGAAATACGGGATCAGATATGAGTCCGAAGGCATCGACAGCTTCTGGTCGAGACCGACATCCAGTTTGTTGATCACAGCGATGGACGCACACAACCATCCCATGAAGACTATGATCTATAGATTGGTTGCCATTAATAATAAATGCGTTAATTTAATGAAAATAATGAGAACTCACGACAGACACTCGGATGAAGTCTTTCATCAGAAATGGTGCGTAAATTTGTTCAAAGAATGTGTAAAGTATACCATTTTTATGTCTGTCTTCCTCCAAGTCATCTAATTTTTTGTGTTGTCGAACACAACACAAGAGATCATATCTATTGTCTAACTGTCTCTTTGTGTCGAAGACTAGTAATGGTATGAAAACAATCATTTGTAGTATAAATGCTATGACAAGAGCTAATCCAGCGTTGAGTGCGAAGACCCGGACGGCGGGCANATGTATGCACTGTTTGTGTAATTTTCAAGTAAACTTAAATACCAATAGTAATAATAATAGTAATAGCAATATACTTGTTAGCGGATCAGATTAGTTGAAACTTACAAAATATACTAAAAATTAGTTTTAAATATCAGTATTAACGAATGTAGCTAGGTGATAAGTGATAATTCAGCTACTGTATGCATTAGTTTAAATATCGAAACGTTAGTGTAAACTCTATGTAAAATTATAATTATAAAAGTTAATTAATAACTTAAGTCATGACTCATGAGATAAGTGAAAAATGTTATATTTAAATATAATTTAATTGTAAATAATATTATTTTACAGATAATTCACTAAATGATGAAACTTTAGTTTTGCCCAAAAAATCTGATTTTGGCCAAAGATTACATGAATTTGGCCTCAAATTTGATGACATTATTGGCCGATGTTTTTATAGATATGGATTCATTTGTTCCCAAAGTATATTACTTCCGGTGATTGGCGTCGCGATAGCCGTCGGTCTATCGGTGGGAATAGTGACCAGTTTTGAGGCCATTACTGATCCGGTAGAGCTCTGGTCGGCGCCGACGAGTCGGGCCCGCAATGAGAAAGAATTTTTTGATAAAAACTTCAGCCCTTTCTATAGAACCCAACAAATTATAATTAGTCCCAAAAATCAGACATTTTTCACACACGAAGACCCGTCGGACCCGAAAAACGCCACCAAAAGCCGTACATTCGGTCCGGCGTTTGACAAACAATTTCTATTACAAGTACTGGACTTACAGTTAAAAGTAATGGCTTTGAGGGCAAAAGTGGGCGACAAAGAGGTTGTGTTGACTGATCTGTGTTTTGATCCGATGAAGAATAAGAAGTGCGCGATTCAGACACCGTTGGGTTGGTTTCAGAGCAACGGATCACTACTGGACCGGACGTACGACAACTCGGGCGCTGTGTATAACTATTTGGATCATGTGATTAAATGTACGGGTGATATGGTTGCACAGGTGGATGGCAATTATGGTGACCTGTCGTGCGCCGGTAGGTTTGGCGGACCCATGTTTCCCAATGTAGTGTTGGCCGACTTTAACGAGTCTATGCCAGAGCCCGACGCCTTTCTCACCTCCCGGTCTGTTGTCATAACAGTATTGCTTAACAATCATATCGAGGCCACAGATAATGCCGCTGCCATGGCGTGGGAACAGGTGTTTTTGGATCTGCTGCACAGCTATAGTAATCCTAACTTTACTTTTGTCTATTATTCTGAGGTATATTTGAATGTTTTATAAATGAAATCACTTTTTGTTTTAATTATGATTTTGTTTTTAATTTTTAGCGTTCAGTTGAGGACGAGATAAACCGATTAAGCAAATCAAGTATTCCTACGCTTGCCATCAGTTATATTGTTATGTTTATCTATATATCCATAACTTTGGGTCGTTTCACAACTTTCAAGAGATTATTTGTTTGTTTTGTACTTTTTTAAAACTTTTACAATTAATTTTAACTCATTTTTTAATCATAACCTTTAGATCGACTCAAAGATATTATTGGGTTTAAGTGGTGTCGCAATAGTGTTACTATCGGTCACCGCATCCATAGGTTTATTGAGTTTATGTGGCGTTAAGTCAACGCTTATTATCGTCGAAGTCATACCTAGATCGACTCAAAGATATTATTGGGTTTAAGTGGTGTCGCAATAGTGTTACTATCGGTCACCGCATCCATAGGTTTATTGAGTTTATGTGGCGTTAAGTCAACGCTTATTATCGTCGAAGTCATACCATTCCTGGTTCTGGCCGTCGGAGTCGACAATATCTTCCTTTTGGTTCAGAACTTTCAGCGCCAGTCGTTTGGCAAAGACGTGGAGATATCTGATCAGATGTCGACTGTCCTCCAGAGTGTGGCGCCGTCTATACTATTGGCCACATTTGCCGAGTCGTCGTGTTTTTTCTTGGGTTCACTCACTTCTATGCCCGCCGTCCGGGTCTTCGCACTCAACGCTGGATTAGCTCTTGTCATAGCATTTATACTACAAATGATTGTTTTCATACCATTACTAGTCTTCGACACAAAGAGACAGTTAGACAATAGATATGAACTCTTCTGTTGTGTTCGACAACACAAGAAACTCGAAGACAATGAAGATATGGATAAGAGGGGTATTCTCTATAAATTCTTTGAACAAATTTACGCACCATTTCTGATGAAAGACTTCATCCGAGTGTCTGTCGTGAGTAAACTCATTGCAATTCACAATTTCATCAATACTTATAATTAATGGCAACCAATCCATAGATCATAATCTTTATTGGATGGTTGTGTGCGTCAATCGCTGTGATCAACAAACTAGATGTAGGTCTCGACCAGAAGCTGTCGATGCCTTCGGACTCATATTTGATCCCGTATTTCGACGCTCAGATGAATAGCCTGCGAGTGGGAGCGCCCGTGTATTTCGTGGTGAGCGGTGAATACGATTACGCGCACAAACAGGACCTGTTGTGTGGGAGCGCCGGCTGTTACCAGAAGTCATTGTCGGCCCTATTGATCGACGCGTCCAAACGGAGCAATGAGTCCTACATATCGTCAACTGTGCCCAACAGTTGGGTCGACGACTACATAGGTTGGGGTAAGAAAACCAGTTGTTGTCGATTACATGACTACGATGTGCGCAAATTTTGCTCCTCTACCGATCGTACGTTAATTATAATTATTATTTTTTATTAATAACTAAATCACGTTTAATGATTGTAAATTGTCAATTAATACCTTGATCAATAGCTAATACGGCTAATGACTGTCAATACTGTACACCCAGCTCTGGGAAGCCGTATCCGGCATTTCAACCATTTGTAGACCTCAAACGCCTTGTGGTTTATGAGGACCTGTTTTACGACCCGCGGCTCCAGTATTTTTTGCAGGACATTCCCAACTCTAAATGCCCTTACGCGTAAGTTATTTACATACCCATGGACCATGGTTGAATTATATGTATGTTACGCAGGGGTGGCCCGGCGTACGAACCGTACGTGCACTTGGATTACAGTCGCTATACCATATCACCCATTAAGGGTAAGTTTATTTTATATTTCTCCTTTTAGTTGATTTACAATAACATATGCTCATCAATAGCCTCGTCGTTTAACGCATACCACACGGTATCCAAGAATTCACAGGATTTCATATCGTGTCTCAAAAACGCCAGAATATTAGCCGAAACAATGACCCAATCTATCAATAGCCAGAATAAAGGCGCCGATCAGTACGTAGAGGTCTATCCCTATAGTGTTTTCTATGTATTCTACGAGCAATACCTGACCATTTGGATGGACACTATCAAGAATCTTGGCATCGCTATCGCCGCTATATTTGTGGTCACTTTTATATTCTTGGGCTTTGATTTAATGTCATCACTCATTATTGTCGTTACAATTGTGGCCATTGTTATAGACTTAATGGGAGTTATGTATTGGGCAAATGTATCATTGAATGCCATATCACTTGTTAATCTCGTTATGGTACGTATATATTTTTACATTAACAGTAGTTCTGTAATTTAATTATACAATTAATTTGTCTGTTTGTGTGCTCACAGTCTGTGGGCATTTCAGTGGAGTTTTGTTCGCATATAACGCGTGGATATGCTATGAGTTTGAGGACCACTCGTGTGGAGAGAGCGGAGGAATCGTTGGCCAGAATCGGGTCATCAGTTCTGTTACGAAGAGCCGCGAAGTGGCCCTCGAGTACGCCAAACAGTACTACGAGCTCTTCTATAAGACCGTCGATGAGATACTGACGACGATTGTGGAAAAGGGCGCACAGTTTCAGATGAATGAGTACGTGTCGGCCATTCAGCTGTTGCACCGGTCGGTGGCCGGCACTCAGCAGCAGTCACTCGACTCGGCTCTTAAGCGTCTCACAGAGATCCTCAATGAAGTGGCCGTTTCTCTGTAGCCGTGACCGCACGTGTGTCTGAATGTGGCCATCGGTGCTGTTGTTGTGGTGTGTGTTGACTGTCCAGACAATTGGCCGTTGAAACCCGTGTCTGGTTTTGATTGTCTATTGATTTTTTGTATGAAACCCTATTTTAATGGTGGAAATTGTTTTGATAATTAATTTAAATAAAATTTTATTATATATTTACTGTTTATTACGATATTATCGGTAATAATAATTATATAGTTATGAGAATCAGTGCTTTATTTAACGATATTTTGATTATAAATTGTGTTTATATATTATGTTATGATTAAGAAAATAAATATTTGCTTAAAACTTGTGTTTCAATTGTTTTGTTTTATGTGTTGTTTTGCGAAATGATTGCTATTTTTTATTGCATTGTTAATGAAAATAGAGATTAATATTAATAATTAATATGAAATACAATTATCGCTAAATAGTTATCAAGAAATGCATTGAATAAACAATTTTTATTGTGATTTAATAGAAAACTATTTAAATAATAATAATTATAATTTTTATTGATATTATGGGCAGATTGTGGTCAATGTAATCATTGATTATTTTATAACAACGGTATTATTAATACCCATACGTTTATAATACAGTTTAATGTTTTAAATGTTAATGATTTGCAATTATATAATTTTATTTTAACACTTTTTTTTAACAATATATAACTTTTGTAACAATGATTAATACTCGATGACATTTAACATTTAAAATGTCAATCATAAGCATATAACGTGCGAATCGTATGATTATTTTGTGGCAAAAAATCAAAAATTGATAACAATTTCATGGATTAATGTTATACTATGATATACCCCATGAACTAGTAGTAAAGGCAAACACCGTTATAATTAACTCCATGTATACAATATGGGCAATACTTACAGAATATTCTGTAAGAATTAAGACAAATATGATAGATATTTAATATATTTAACAACAACTTATGCAAACTAATATAAACAAGCTTGTTTGCACGTAAAACTGTTTACCATAATGAGGCAATATTTGTTACCTTAAAAGTAATCTAATTATCGCACAAAACAGCACTACAATACTGTAACCTCACAAATATTTTCATAGTAAATGCTGATAACAATGGGTTATTGGGTATGAAATATTGCAATTTAGTGATAAAAACACATGATAATAAACGTACATTTAACCATCCGTTTATGTTACCTATTTTAATGGCATAAATGCTTTAAATTAATCATAAGTGCCTATTATTGATAGGAATTAGTTACTAATTTATAACAAAGTTTTATGCTTACTTTGCTTAAATCACTGAATGTACCTGTGCCTTCACTTTGAACCCCTAAACATACTGTACTATAAATAATTTTAAATCCCATTTTATTTCTAACACTTTATTGTAATAATTGAAATATAAATTCAGTGCAATTAGGTTATCAAACCATTAGATAATACCCAATAACCCCATAGGCGTGAACTTGGAAACAGTTAACTAACTGTCGATAGTTTTTTTAATTAACCAATTGTATAATTCAAGGGCCGCCCAATACCAGCCCTCAGTCACCCATTTACTAACGAGTAAGTGGCTATAAGTACTGCTCCCAAAACTAGTACCAAGTTCAATTTATTGTTTCAATTGTTTGCCGTATAATATTCATTGACGAGACAGCAGTTTTGAAGTACTGTCTTAATGAATGTCTTTCTGTCTACAAGTTATGCAAATATTAGTTATTAATGATATTCAGTGACTTATAACTGTTAATTCAATTTAATACAGAAAATAACTGAAAAATAATAATTTATTTCATTAATAAATCACAAGAAAGAAAATGTCAAAAATTGGTTTTATTTTATTCCTACTTCTGTTAATACAAGTAAATATTGACTTTCTTATTGCATATTGTATTTTAAATTATTATTAATTAAATTTATAAATTGTGTCATAAATAGTGCCAATTAGTGGCCAACCAATGTATATATCGGGGAAAATGTGGTGAATTAATCTCGAAAAACAAACAAACTGAAGGCCAGATATTCCCCATACCCTGTGTAGTGGACGCACAGCCGCAACCATTGAATCAAACCAACGTGGATGAGCTGAAAAAGATTGTACCTGAGCTATTCACTGGTAAGACTTATATTAATAATTAAAATATGATATCATATAAATATTATAGCATATAAATTACTTTTATTTTGTAATTACAATTTGTAAGTTTGTATTGTGTCACTACTTGTTGAACAGTATACTACTGTATATTGTACACTACTGTACTGTATATTATGTAGAATTGTTTTAAACAACTATGTTAACAACCATGTTCTTCCCGCCCTATCTTCCCTGTACCCGATGACAGACGCAAATCCGGTATTTTGCTGCGACGATGACCAGGCGTACGCGATGTTGCATGATCAAATAGCGAAGGCGGATTTCATCTCGCGGTGTCCGTCGTGTTACGTAAACTTTGCCAAAACCCTAATACACATGTCGTGCAGTCCCCGTCACCGCGAGTTTCTCAAAGTGACCAAAAGCGAAAAGCTTAAGGATTCGGACAAATATATGCTCAAAGAGTTGTCCTATTATATGACCAATCGGTACGCGAACTCGTTTTACAACTCGTGCTCATCGGTGGCGTTCCCCTCCGGCTCGTCCACTGTCATGAAGCTTCTGTGCGGAACATACGGTGCCGAACACTGTTCGGCGGCCAGACTTCTGGAGACAATGGGACACTTTGATCCGTCGCCGATGCAAATCAACTTCAAACTAACCGACAGCGCGACCATTGATGACCGAAAACCAATGGACGATAAGACCTATTCGTGCGCTGAGGCGCCCAAAGCCTACTCTACAATGGTGTGCAGTTGCGGCGACTGTCCCGTCATATGTCCGGTCGGCGGGCAGTTGGCGTACGCCGAGCCCGACTCCGTGTGGCAGGTGTGGGGCGTCAATGGTATGTGGGTTTGTATGGCTTTCGTCTATTTGGTCCTATTTATGGTGATTGTCATTGGATTTGTGATTTGCTATCGCCGTAAAAGAGCTCGCGGTAAGTGTGACAACAACTTTATTTCATTTTACTTAAGTTTTATTAACTTTTAATATTTTTAATTAATTATAGGCCACAAGTCTAGTGAGAACAGAGGATCCAATGCCCAGAAGACATCGGGTTTTGGTCAGAATGTGCACGAATTTGGCCTACAATTTGACGATACGATACGTGAGTGGTTCGGCCGTTACGGGCGCTTCTGTTCGCGTCGGCCGTGGAATGTGATCCTTCCTCTCGTCGGCGTCGCGGCTGCCGTCGGCCTATCGGTGGGAATACTGACTAGTTTTGTGGCGATGATAGATCCGGTGCAGCTCTGGTCGGCGCCCACCAGTCGGGCCCGAAGCGAGAAAGACTTCTTCGACAACAGTTTCGGACCATTCTATAGGACGGCGCAGATAATCATTTGGCCCAACAATAAGACCACGTTTGAACACTTTTACCTCGAGGACGAAATAACAAACAGCACCAAAACCATTGGTCCGGTGTTTGAAAAGCAATTTTTACTACAAGTGCTGGACTTGCAGTCAAAAGTGCTTAATCTGACCGCAAATGTTGCCGACAAAGAGGTTGTGTTGAGTGATATCTGTTTCGATCCGATGAAGAATAAGAAGTGCGCGACTCAGACACCGTTGGGTTGGTTCCAGAATGACATCGATATGTTAAATAAGACACGTATTGACGAAGACCTAAATCATGAATACAATTACCTTGATCACTTCATCTCATGCACGGCAAACCCTACGAGTCAATACGATAAGTTCATTGAGACGACGTGTGCGGGCACTTTTGGCGGACCCATGTTTCCCAACGTAGCGCTCGGCGATACCGATGAGGACATGCCAGAGCCCGACCGATTCATGACCGCCCGGTCTCTGGTTATTACGATATTGATTAACAATAATGTCGACGACGACAATAAGACCGATGCCATGGCCTGGGAAAAGGTGTTTCTTGATTATATGCATAGTTATAGTAATCCTAACTTCACGTTTGTCTTCTTCGCAGAGGTTTGTGTTGTTTTTTGTGATAAAAATTTATTTAATTATTAAAATCTATGATTTATTTTGTTATGTAATTAGCGTTCGCTTCAGGACGAGATCGACAGACTTAGCAAATCAAGTATCGGTACGCTTGCCATCAGTTATATCGTTATGTTTATCTATATATCCATAACTTTGGGTCGTTTTACATCAATGAAGAGATTATTTGTATGTTTTTAATTTTAAAAAACTTATTTTACAATTAATTTTAAATATATTAATTGTTATCTTTAGATCGACTCAAAGATATTATTGGGTTTAAGTGGTGTCGCAATAGTGTTACTATCGGTCACCGCATCCATAGGTTTATTGAGTTTATGTGGCGTTAAGTCAACGCTTATTATCGTCGAAGTCATACCNCGCATCCATAGGTTTATTGAGTTTATGTGGCGTTAAGTCAACGCTTATTATCGTCGAAGTCATACCATTCCTGGTTCTGGCCGTCGGAGTCGACAATATCTTCCTTTTGGTTCAGAACTTTCAGCGCCAGTCGTTTGGCAAAGACGTGCAGATATCGGATCAGATGGCGGCTGTCCTCCAGAGTGTGGCGCCGTCTATACTATTGGCCACATTTGCCGAGTCGTCGTGTTTTTTCTTGGGTTCACTCACTTCTATGCCCGCCGTCCGGGTCTTCGCACTCAACGCTGGATTAGCTCTTGTCATAGCATTTATACTACAAATGATTGTTTTCATACCATTACTAGTGTTCGACACAAAGAGACAGTTAGACAATAGATATGAACTCTTCTGTTGTGTTCGACAACACAAGAAACTTGAAGACAATGAAGACATGGATAAGAGGGGTATTCTCTATAAATTCTTTGAACAAATTTACGCACCATTTCTGATGAAAGACTTCATCCGAGTGTCTGTCGTGAGTAAACCTATTATAATTCACAATTTCATCAATTCTTATAATTAATGGCAACCAATCCATAGATTATAGTATTCATGGGATGGTTGTGTGCGTCCATCGCTGTGATCAACAAACTGGATGTCGGTCTCGACCAGAAGCTGTCGATGCCTTCCGACTCATATCTGATTCCGTATTTCGACGCTCAGATGAATAGCCTGCGAGTGGGAGCGCCCGTGTATTTTGTATTGAAGGGTGAATACGATTACGCGCACAAACAGGACCTGTTGTGTGGGAGCGCCGGCTGTTACCAGAAGTCATTGTCGGCGCTATTGATTGACGCGTCCAAACGGAGCAACGAGTCCTACATATCGTCAACTGTGCCCAACAGTTGGGTCGACGATTACATAGGTTGGGGTAAGGGATCCAAATGTTGTCGACTACATGACTATGATGTGCGCAAATTTTGCTCCTCTACCGATCGTACGTTAATTATAATTATTATTTTAATTAATAACTAATTGACGTTTAATGATTGTCAATTGTTAATTAACACCTTGGTCAATAGCTAATACTGCTAATGACTGTCAGGTGTGTACACCCAGCTCTGGGAAGCCGTATCCGGCATTTCAACCATTTGTAGACCTCAAACGCCTTGTGGTTTATGAGGACCTGTTTTACGACCCGCGGCTCCAGTATTTTTTGCAGGACATTCCCAACTCTGCCTGCGCTAAAGCGTAAGTTATTTACACACTCATGCAACATGGTTGAATTATTGAATTATGTTACATAATTAAATATTAAATTATATGTATGTTACGCAGGGGTGGCCCGGCGTACGGACCGTACGTGCATTTGGATTACGATCGCTATACTATATCACCCATTAAAGGTAAATTTGTTTTATATCGATGTTTTTTATATCTGATATACATGATGTACTATATTATATGATCATCAATAGCCTCGTCGTTCAACGCATACCACACAACGTCAAAGAATTCACAGGATTTCATATCGTGTCTTAAAAACGCCAGAATATTAGCCGAAACAATGACCCAATCTATCAATAGCCAGAATAAAGGCGCCGATCAGTACGTAGAGGTCTATCCCTATAGTGTTTTCTATGTATTCTACGAGCAATACCTGACCATTTGGAAAGACACCATCATGAATCTAGGCATCGCTATCGCCGCTATATTTGTGGTCACTTTTATATTCTTGGGCTTTGATTTAATGTCATCACTCATTATTGTCTTTACAATTGTGGCCATAGTTATAGACTTAATGGGAGTCATGTTTTGGGCTAATGTATCATTGAATGCCATATCACTCGTCAATCTCGTTATGGTATAGAATTTTACATTAAATGTAAAGGTTATTTAAATCATTTAATAATTAAAATGTTTGTCCATCTGTGTCCTCACAGTCTGTGGGCATTTCAGTGGAGTTTTGTTCGCATATAACGCGTGGATATGCTATGAGTTTGAGGACCACTCGTGTGGAGAGAGCGGAGGAATCGTTGGCCAGAATCGGGTCATCAGTTCTGT